GAGACACTAAGAAATTGGTGTACTTTAAGAAATCAGGATACGAATTTAATGTTGGGTATTCCTTTGAATATGTGATGTAGTTCCATACGCATTTTCCCCCAGGAAACATACGGACTTAAGAGAAAGATTGCATCTTATAGAATCATTAAGTCGAAGTGACTGTCATATTTGGTTGTAATTCTTGGTTAACTCATTGAGTGCAAAGCACAACTCGGTACTTTTCAATTAACAATGCTGATGAAAATATAACTTGTATTATTTATTCATCATGAAACAAGCATCTTGTTCTATCGTGTGACCAGTTCGTTCCTAGCACTATCAACGTCTTTTGCGTCATCCGCAGTTACATTCGTCACCACTCGCCCCTTTCCGTAACCAGCAAGAAGACTCGTCCCCCTATTGATGTATGTCATGTGCGAAAATACGACAAACCAATCAGAATGCGCGTATAACTTCAAGTTCATCGCTCAAAGAATCCCTCAAGAATTTTTATAAATTTTACACATGTGTTGCATCTTAAATATACCCAAGATACAGTTAAATATGTTCAATCATACTGTATATACCACATGTTCTGATGTGTTTAAAATTGCATCTGAAATATACATAATATATGGGGAATCATATGTGAATCATTACGCAACGAGTTAACAATTCTTTTAGCTATGCCCGTTTGCGTTTAGATGGAACCCAGTCGCAAAAATGGCCACGAGAGGGGCATGAGTTGCTATTCGGCTTGTCCCGGAATAACACGAGTTGGTCACTGTTAGCCTAGCGGACACCAGTTATAGTTAATAATGTTTTGGATCACTTTAAATACGCGTTGTCCAGTTATTTCAATCTGACATAGAATATAAACTATTTGAAAACGCCAAAGTAACTAAAATACTTCGCTCTTCTCTTCGACCTCAGGCCCTTTGTTATCAGACCTCAAACACCCAGGTTCCAGAGAACTACATTTCATAACTATCACCGTGTTATGCTGTTAGCTTATCTAGGAGCTGGAATCACACGACCAGAGTCATATCACCAGTGGTCATCTGACCATAATACAGCTGCCGGTATTATTTACGAACCAATAAAACAGACAAGATGATGACCACCCATTTTGTCTTCGTATTGTGGATAGCACGAACTATTAACAAAGGCAGCGGTACCATGGAAACAACTTGTCTGTGGTTATAATAGCCTTCTTTATCTTTCTGTAAACATTAACTATACTTCCCACTTCATTGACGGATGACGTCACGTACAGAACTTGGTTTATTGGTAGAGACAGTCCTCTAGTTATTGGGATGGTTTCTGCGCCGATAGATCGTTATTTATCGGTGTAGTATATAGTACGGCCCCGTCATCAGTTTATGGACAATCTAGCCATATAATGCTGGTTTATATGCTTTGGTCTGATTCGCCGTGTATTTTGAGCGACTGTGGTAAATGTCACCCCGACTTGATATAATTAAATGTCTGCAGGAGACAACTGTTCGTCTCTATATTCCCGATGGCACCATCCTCCTTGTGAATAGTGGGGTTTCAGCAATAGCCATTTTCAAGTTACTTTGTCTTTTGCACATGGACTTAGGCAAGTATGGAATAAGACTCATCTCAAGGCAGAACTGAAAGATCCCTCAACCTCATTTGAAAGGAATAACGTTTCAGAACACGAACACGGGAGAAACAAAAATAAACTATTGGGTTCCGCTGGTGTTTGTGGCTGTTCAGTTAGCTTTGTTTGCTGGTGAGGGGCGGTGCTGTAGCCAACATGGTTAAAGTGTTCGTTTGTTGCGCCGAAGGCCCGAGTTCGATTCCCCACATGGTTAAAATGTGTGAAGCCCATATCTAGTGTTCCCCTCTCTGATATTGCAAGAATATTGCTAAAAGCGGCAAAAACCATACTCACTCTCTCACTTGTTCACTGTTGCCTATAATGGACATGCTGCATGTGTTGAAGATCGTTATAGAGTAAAGATCTCAGCTGCCAATGTATCTACCGCACGGGTGTTTTACGACATACGTCATGGCGTCATACGACTCTTCCTCAAAAGTTGTTTGATCTGGGTTTCAACATTCAAGACCTCGGTAAAGCTTTCAAAAACGTTTTATGGTAGACGCATTGAGACAAATGTGAAGTATCTGTGACCAAAATTATGTCCGATGCAATTCCCCATTTTGACCATGTGTTTCCATGTGTTTTGTTCAGGTGAAAAGTTGACTTGCCTTTGCATGTGTTTGCGAAGGGTGCCACCTGGTGGGGCAGGATAGGTTAAACTTTGCAAACGCATTGGTATTATCACGATTTGATAGTAATTCATAAACACATGCTTATTATACAGTCGGAATCGTACATTCGAGTAAATCTCTCAATATGAACCCGGGTATAAGTGGTCTCCAGTAACGTATGCTCGTTGTAAGACACGACTAAATGGATCGGGCTGGGCTGATTGCGTTTCACCCTGCCCCGTGTTGTTTGTCAAACTTTCAGTCACCGCTTTGTCTGGTCCAGGCGTATTCACAGGCCATTGTGGTTTAACTTGAATGTTGCTGACTGCAGCGCTAAACAACAAGCAGACTTTTGTGAGTCATGATTTACAACGAACTTATGTCATCAGTAGCCATCCGCAGTGAACTGAAGCTGCTTTTGTTTTCAAAGGCACATTCCCTGAGGTCGGCGTGGATTTGTAGATTGTACCCCGAGCACAGGCTGACATGCTGGACAGACATTTACGGTTACAGATAATACGCTTCCGTTTCTCCATTATGATTCAGTCCCTCCATTATGATTCAGCTTCTGCGTTATGATTCAGTTTCTCATGATGATTCAGTTTCTCCATAATGATTCACTTTCTCCATTACGATTCAGTTTCTCCATGATGATTCAGTTTCTCCATTATGATTCAGCTTCTGCGTTATGATTCAGTTTCTCCATTATGATTCAGTTTCTCCATAATGATTCAGATTCTCCATTATGATTCAGTTTCTCCATAATGATTCAGTTTCTCCATTATGATTCAGTTTCTCCATAATGATTCAGTTTCTCCATTACGATTCAGTTTCTCCATGATGATTCAGTTTCTCCATTATGATTCAGTTTCTCCATGATGATTCAGTTTCTCCATTATGATTCAGTTTCTCCATGATGATTCAGTTTCTCCATTACGATTCGGTTTCTCCATGATGATTCAGTTTCTGCGTTATGATTCAGCTTCAGCATTATGATTAAGTTTCTCCATTATGATTAAGTTTCTCCATTATGATTCAGTTTCTCCATTATTATCCAGCTACTCCATTACGATTTAGCTTCTTATTCTCCAGGATAAATCAGCATACAATATAATCTTCTTTCATTTTCCGATCATGGCGTTACATATTTTTTGTATCTCCATCAGACACCAGAATTGTAAAGATATGATTTATGTTCTAAAATAACTGAACCCTTCTTCGACTAATGAAGTTCAACAACAAACCAAAGGACTTCTTTATATAAGGAGACAAACGGTTTACTTTAATTTCACACTCCTATCACATAATACCTATCTGACTAGTTCTGTTAAGAAATTATCTCCACATAATAAAGAACAGCATATTGATTTTATTTGGTCCTCTACTAAAGTCAATTATGTTTAGTTGAGATAGTTGTCTGTCAAACAGTATCAGTTAACATGCATTATGATCTGCCCCTTTCATGTTCACTGACTTTCCTGATGAAAGCGAGAGTACAGGCAGAGCTGGAATTCAGTACGTGTTTAGAAATATTACTTTCCTGAAGACTGTATAACGAAATGAAGGACCCTTGTGTGCGTGAAGCACCGTCCAGGAGCCAGACGGATGTTCAGTCTGCAAGATGCGATTTAGCTGAGGATACGTAGGAATACCAGAATATGGGTTCATGAGGGTTGTTAATATGGCGTGTGAGTCATGATGTTTGTGAACAACTGGCACTATCTTTGAAGAGGTTAAGGGGGGCTACCTTGTACATTAATAAAGTGGTACATGTACATAACATCTACAAGTGTAATGTTGATGTCTTTGGGGAGAAATAACATTTGCGAACGTTATTTAACACACTCATGGGTAGGAATGATGATGGTACTAAAATGAAATGAAAGTCTTTTATTCTCATTTTGTTCTTGATACCATTCTTGAAATGTATGTACGCTGAAAAGATTTTCCCCAAAGGCTTGATATTTATGTTGGCGTTCAATATCCAACTACTAAAGCCATCAAACATAATCAATCTGCCGGATTAGTGAATCGTTGTAACGGAGTAATGTCACTTTGCTTCGATGAAAGCGTTTCAAACAGTAATCGTTCAGTATGTGGTGTTTCCGGATTAAACAGGTTCAGAGTAACGAAGTGTCACTGTTGCTGAAAACGTCTCTTCCTGTATTGTGTGGAGAGCATAATCTTCACATTATGTTAGAACGAACTGTCAATATTCTCATAAAGAAGTTATCGAGCAAAAGGAAGTATACTCCAATGTTTGATTGTGGTTAAAAGTGAAACAAGCAAGAAATGGTTACTCGATGGTAATATATTTGATACATAGATGTGTTTTGGACTTCATCTTTGCGTTGTTTGGCAACTGTTTTCAGCCTAGTAACGTTTTGCTAACGCATGTAATTTGTTGGTAGAGCCAAATTTTCAAGTGTTTTGTTTCTTTTGCCCGGCAGTTTATGTTATACGTGTTGGTATCTTTTAAAGACAGTATATCATGTTGTAATTCATTTAATAATCTTCTCATCTGAGGATAAAAAACAGGAAGTAAAAAATCTCGAGCATACCATTGGAATAGAAAGAAAGAACAATGAGCTTTGCAGCAAGGTCCTAAGAAACTGAAGAAGGTTTCTTAGATGGGACTCTAATGATGTGTGTTTGTACATGTACCTTTCTTTCAGGCCTGTATGAAAGGAACTAATATCAGTTAGTTCTGTTGAGTATCTAAAAAATCGTTTCATTGTGACATACACTATTCCCCTAACACCTTTGTTTTATGGTTGCAGGGTATGGCCACAGCACACCGCAAACGGTCGGAGGAAAGATATTCTGTATGTTCTATGCCTTGGCAGGGATCCCCCTGTGTATCGTCATGTTCCAAAGTGTCGGCGAGAGACTCAACACTTTCGTCACATTTGTCCTCAAGCAGCTAAGGAAGTGTTTCAGGATGAAGAATACAGAGGTTTCTCAGACTAATCTCATCCTCGTGGCCATGAACCTGTCCACCATTGTACTGACCACAGGAGCAGCGGCCTTCTCCTATTACGAGGGCTGGGAGTACATCAACTCGCTCTATTATTGTTTCATCACTCTTACAACAATCGGGTTTGGGGATTTTGTTGCGCTTCAGAAAGATAATGCATTGGAGTTAAAACCTCATTATGTGGCGTTTAGTTTGATATTTATATTATTTGGCCTCACAGTGATATCCGCCGCCATGAACCTTCTTGTGTTACGATTTTTGACGATGAATACCGAAGATGAACGAAGGGCGGAACTGGCTGCTGTTGCGGCTGCGCAGGGTGCTGTGCGGCTGGACGGGGACGTTATTACTGCAAATGGCAGTGTGGTTTCAGGTGCTCAGGAAACGCCTGAATATAACGATCTGATATCAGTATGTTCTTGTTCATGTTATAACCTTCGATCTAAACATAAACCCCGGTATAAAGTGACTCGAGGACCGGGAAAGATCGCTCATCTTCTTCCCATGAAGTCCTCAGCAGCAAAAGAGGACAGTCAAAGTGGTGGGGTCGAGGATACGAACTCCTATTTGCAATGGCAAATGCTCTCCCGGAAACGAGCTTCGATATGACGGCGGATATGGTTAAGACGCCATGTTTGATATTCCATGTTAAAGTGCGCTTTGTTGACTACGGGGGCGAGTGTGGCGCCCTCTGGTGTGTACATATTTCATATTCTACTACCTCTTCAATCGGACCCTGATCTGATAATGGATTTCGTTACTTCATTTACTTGATTGCAAGGTCTTCCGTCATATCTTATCTTAGCTCACCTTACCGGCAGATAGCTGAACGGACGAGTTGTTAGCTCACCTGATGAGCACAGTGATGGATGGATGGACGCATAGAGAAATATAACTTGGATTATATATACATAGATGTGTGTTGACAGTGTTGATTTGAAGTTGACAGTTATGGTGAATCTGGAAGGGTTTCACATGTTTTAGTGTGATTCTTTGTGAAATGTTTGTTTTAAAGCTCAACTATCAAGCATTACCCTATGTTATTAATGCAATATTATCGATGTTGCCCCACAATGAGGGAGTTAAGGGTAAAATGTTTGTATATGCGGGGTAACATAATAAAAATTGTTCAGAAGAAGGGAGGAGATCGTTAATGGCATGTAAATATATCGAAGTAGTGTAACATCCTAAATTATAAATTATTCTTAACAGATATAACCAAACGAAAGATATTTCAATGTATTGTCAGTGGCTCATGATACCACTTGTGATAGCTTTGACATTGTGGGTACCGGGAGTTATTTCACGACATGCATTTAGTCGTAAAGGAGAATAGGTTTTACCTCTGTAATAGTCACAGATGAGAGGTGTTCGCATCTTTCTACATCCACACCTGTTCTCTCTTATTACACTTTTTCCTTTAATCAACCCAGTTAGAAAACTAATTCCGAGATGATCGCGAGTTTTTACATAAATATAAGTGAGACATTTGGATATCATATGTTCCATCTAGGCCATGTTGGATTGTCCATTTGTTTCAACCCGTTCTGGTACAGCAAATACTATTATTGTCAATCATGTTTTGTCAAGTGATGAACAACAATCTATAAAGGCATTTTTTGACGTCTGTACATGAAATTATTCCCGACTTCAGTCCAATATGTTTGATTGATACAATTCTTTTTTCCACAATGACAAATAATAAAAATGTATCTATTTCTCAGGCACGTGCACATTCATACACAATTTGTACCTTTTCAAAATGTTCTCCTTTTATGCAAATATCAGATGACTTATTCAAAGATAGCCACAACACAATGACAATAGTTTATCTTTCATATATTTCTTAGTGAATAGTGTTTACGTCTCCGATTGAAACTGTACGATCACGTTGTGTTTGTTTCCTTTATTCAATTTGAAAAAGAATTCATTTAATGCTCTTTTCACCATTTCAAGCTTCTTTGACACGTTTTTATACATTGTGCTATAATCGCATGGCTGGTTTTGTCAAGCGGGTTATATGTTTTATGATATATTAAGTAAGTTAATGACAGAAGATTAATACGCTTCTGTACGGCACAGCATTAAAATGTTGATAGATGTATATTGATTCGAAATTGAAAAGATGAAATCAGAAATCAAAGCATGTTGCTCCGCACAGTGATGTCGAGGAATGCAGCATGCTCAAGTAAATTCTTCTATGAATCCCCTGTTTGTACGGAAAATTTTTGTTTAATGTTCACAGATGTCATATCAGTACTACATATGTCGTACTTTAAGATTTACTACTTCGATTTATTTAATTTTATTCTGATCACCTTTGTCATCAACCGTTCATTTTATGCGGAATAGAATTTGTTACACTATCACCAATATCAAACCCTATTTGCATAATCATTTTCAACTAAAATATACTCACCGTCAAAAGAAACGCGAATACAACACATGTTGGTTAATATATGAAGACTTAATCATATTCAAGATCTATTAGATAGGTTAGATGCACACACGAACTTACTGGTATGTTGTGTGAACCGACGCTCATGAACGCATCACATGTGACGTCATAGATCCATGACTCGGGATCCACCATTTGTCTCGTGCAGGATTTGCGTGTAAAGTTTGGAAATCACGTGCAGCATATCGTGATAAGATTAAAGTCACTCGGTGGTAACACTTGACTGATTGTTAGTTTGTCATTAAGTGGTACACATTAGAAACATGTACATAATTCTCTATATGTTTCTATGGTTCGCGTTTCTTTTGACGGTCAGTATATTATGCTTCTTTCGAAACTATTAGACTTTATTCAATCCCATGCTTCATAAACGACAAATGAGTGAAAGGAAAGAAATGCCTCGTGTTCACGAACCATATCTTATCTTGAGCACGAGAAAACATATTTTTGATTATTTACATAGCAATAATATTGATAAGAATTCTAGCAATCTAAGAATTATCATCAGTTATGATTATTATTTGCAAGCACCATTTATGACACATCAACCTATCAATTGTTTCTGTAGTTTACAGAGAGAAACAATCATATAACATGTACGCAATACGTTTGCTTGTTGACATGGCTTAGTTGTGTGCATTTCTTAGCTTGCAATTACAGGATGTAAAATAGGGGTCTAATGTGGTGTGATAAAGTACTTGAGGTGACACTGGTTTCTTGCCATCCCAAGGTCACCTGAGGCCATCCAAGGGCGATAAGAACAAAGCTGCAAATGAGGTCAGGGTGAAGGTCAATATCTGCTCAAATCCATAGCGTAGATTTTTTTTATATCGAAACTTCGCTTTTTTTTACCTCGTTGTCTTCATATAGGATTTTTCTTGTTCTGTGTTTAGCATTATTTGCAACTATTTTCCAAACTAAACCTTTGCAAGTGCATCACTTTCTTCGTAAAGGCTATACCGATCGTGTAGTTCTGCCACACATAACAATGGCATATTGGCATGCCATTGTAAGAAGAATTTATTATACCTTGCGCGATAGGGCCGAGAAATTACATAACATATCATTAAATATGGCTATAATGGGTCGTATGTTTTGTTATATCCGTCAAACAGCATGCTACAGTTGACCGTCCGATGCAAACATTACCAGTTAGTGATGAGGCCTATTACGTTTCACGAATACCCAAACACTGATGCATGTCACATGCATGTTCCACCGTTGAACATACCAATTGATTGTTACGTCAGTTCTTTGGGGATCTTTTTATCTGTATCCGGGAAAGTGCAATGAACTATATCGATGGTATGAAACATATTGAAAATATAGTTTTAGTTACATTGTATTGCGTATACCGTTGGAATACATACATTCTTATATAACCCACATTCTTCTGCGCCCCGTTTATAAAAATTGTTAGTTCCAGGAAGTTTGAAGCTTTTACACATTGTTACAGTTATAATTTCAATGGAAGTTTGACAAATTTCAACTTTTGTATTGTGTACAAGAAACGGCATTATTGTTTGTAAGAATAAGGTGAAATCCATAAGTCAACCCATTTTTTATTGATTCTGCAGCTTCTAACGCCGGTTAAAGATGGTTTTATGAAACATTTTATATTAGTGTGATTAGAGGTGAGGTGAGGGTTTCAGATTATTTCACTTACATAACGACGTGCATGCGCGTGTTGGGGTCAGCTTGTACGCACTTATGCCGCTTTTATAGTATTAGCCTACTGAGATACAATGCTGCAGTTTTACAAGCATACCCAACCCAGACACATTATACTACTATACCAATCGAGGATACCATCTGCTAACATTGTTTGGTATGAAGCGGCCAGGTGATAGAACTTCCGCTTCTTCTGCAAATTATGATAAGACATAATCTAAGCCATCAAAGGGAGAAACGTCAGTGGATAAATCAGACCGTGAAAACTACTAATATTGAACTACATGAATTCAGTTCTTAATGATACCGGGCAAACTTCACGTGTTTTAGACACACCCCGCTCCTCCATTACCCGTGCTATCTCACGTAGTGCACAGTGCTATCTGTAGTCAAGTAATGAAATGGGGTCGTGCATAACTCACGGAAAAAAATAAAAAAATTAGCCCAACTTTACCACTGTCTGATATTAACGCAGTCGATGACCGTAATTCTCTGACACGTGCAGCATGAGAACCATTGGCGTTTGTGAGATGTAATCTGAGGGCTCACTGACCCCCATAATCGCCGGAACCAAGGGTCTGGTAAAAAAAGGATTTTAGAGCTTCTACAGTCGTAAACCCATGTTAAAAGGTAGGAAATACAATACTCGTAATAACAATGGCTTGTGAAAGGGGGCCCAGTCATACCTTGAATGGTTGGTTACAAATAGCGACTACTCCGAAACATTGCCGTATGCATTCACGGTAACAGAGGAACGTAGTGTATACGAACGTAAAGTACGTAGAGAAATGCCGAGGATAACTAGGTAGAGGAACCTTTCTTATTCGTGTGGCATACCCGTACACCTGTGTCCATAATAGCTAAGTCTGAAGTCAACTATGCCTTCCATAAAACCAAAGCATTTTGTGTATGAAAATCTATCGTTGGCGAATGTTCAACATGAAAATACAAATTTATGTATCGTTATGTACCTATGTATTCTAACTATACACTGTGTTATGTATTGGTCAGTTCCTGTTCCAGAGTCTGCCAAATCGTGTGATCGAGTCAGATTGTCTATATTTTGTATTTACCTGAATATTCCTTGGGGAGAACATATACCATAGCGTGTGGGGTTATGTTCATGTACCAGTAACATCCTTAGAGTAGGATTCCAGAATGTTTTCGGTTAGTGAAACTATAAGTTTTCGTGCTGTGGCAGTTTAATATGTTCCACTGTAAGTGAAACCTTCACTTGTGGAGAAAGATCAGGGGCAAAGTCCACTGTCCAAGGTTATAAAGTATGATTGGTAGTATTTTGTAAATGTGGTGAAACTTGGTGAACTTTGTGGTACTTTGTTTAAAATGAAAGAGACATTTCTTGCATAAGTTAGTTTCTTATATGACATCGGTCATCTTGCTCCAGTTTGTGATTTTTTTCATAATACACCATATGCATGCTATGTGCTTATACATTACTTTGATTTGTTTCTTTTAACCTTTTTTTGACTTTTTGATTGGTGGGTATGAACGTGTGTTTGATATGTGTATGCCTTTTTTTACACAGTTTGTTGCGTGACTATTCAGTCGTGATTTTATCAGATTAGTATCATTATATTGACGCAAAAGACTATCATTATAATGACGCTAAGGAATCGGATTTGATTGAAGTTGTACCATCAGATTGTGATATGGATGGTGGACAATATAAACAAATGCAATCATTTACTAATTGCCAGATATAATCCTGTGTTGTTTATGTTTTCATCAGAGGTCATTTCAGAATTTATTCAGCTGTCGAATGTTTCCTTTACTTGACCAAAGTCAGGAATGTCGTCATTTCATTATTAACCTGAATAAAGTAACTCTTGTAGATACTGGACTGCCATCCTTGAGTATCCTGTGTATTATAACGCTTTAACTCTAGTTTAGGGGCAGTGGGGTAGCCTAGTGGTTAAAGCGTTCATTCGTGGTGCCGAAGACCCGGGTTCGTTTCCCCACATGGGTACAATATGTGAAGCCCATTTCTGGCATCCCCCGCCGTGATATTGCTGGAATATTGCCAAAAGTGACATCAAAACCATATTCACTCATTATTCTATTTTGATAATACACCACAGAATTCGCCATCTATCTTATCTTTAACTTTCCACAGAATTTCTCTCGCCATGGAAGCTAATTGGATAAGACGGATAATTTTAGCGGCGTGGCATTCGAATAGCGAAGCTATGGTGGCGAATGGGTACTTCATTTTTTATTGTGAAACAATGTATATAATACACAGGAAAAAAAAGGAGGATACAAATTTATAGCCAGAATAATTTGGAATATCTTTGAGCATTGTGTATCGAGTATGTTTTAAATCTTAATATAACTAAGAAACGATTCAATTTATTTATTTATTATAATACAGAAATCAGCTTAAAGTTGCAGATAATGTATCAGCAATATACGTTAAGTTTATTCTTATTTATATAATTATATATTCATACTAATTTAAATTTATTAAACATATATAAAACGAATTATTTGATAGGCATTACTCAGAAGTTGACGGATGGCAAAGTAGAGATTATTTATGGATAACATGTTTCTTTATTTACTGTAAAGGCGGCGTTTCGGTATAGATCCTTATACCTTTGCTTGCTTGACAACAGAATAAGAATCTATACCGAAACGTCGCCATTACAGTAAAAAAATAAGTTGTTATCCATAAATTATGTCTCCTTTGTCACATATAAAACAATCGCGTTCATCGGTCAAAATAAGGCCTCAAATATTACTTTTCACCCTAAAACTAGTACTCTCTAAAATACAAACAGATTGGTCACTAGTAACGCAGTTCTCTAACGAACTTAAACCTTAATGTAGACGTTAGACATATGTTGCAGTTCCAGTGTTTATCGTGGAGGCGGTGTGTCTGAATGTCGACACTGTCTATGATTTTATAACAAATCCCTGGACACTGGAACGTCAGCAGATTCTAATTGGTCATACTTAAGACAATAACTTTGATTTATCTCAACTTTTGACTGTACTATATGTTCATGTATTGTTCCTTGTCTAGCATTTAATTGCTTTGATTGCCTAACTAATGTCTTCCTTGTTATGCAGACAATGAAGGAAGGCGGACATTATCAGTAGGGTGGCTTTTGTGTCACGCTCTACGAGTAACACTTGAGACCCCAATTTGACCTATGAATGCGCTGTTTGTAAATTGTAAAACCTCATCTGGATTACGGACAGGTTGTTTAGAATGAATTGAATTGAGTACAACTGAGGATGTTTTCTAAATTTTAAATAATTTGAGGTTAATAATTATATCAATTTTTTTATTAACATATCATTAAGGTTTTATGTGCAGATCAATACTAATTTGTACACAATAACAATATTACTATTGGGTAGATCTGAATATGTTTAAGAGTAATATGTAGTACATATAATAAAAAGTAACCATTGTAAAAATGAATTTTAAATATGAAAAGGCATTGGCATTCATTCACAAGGGATGAATATTCCGTAGTTCCAGAT